CATTCAAAAGGCTTCTCACCTGTGTGAATTCTGATGTGAGTAGTCAAATGAATTTTTTTAGTAAAACCTTTGCCACAAATCGTGCAGGAAAATGGCTTCTCCCCTGTGTGAATTCTGGTGTGTTTATTAAGATCAGATGTCTGAGTGAATCTTTTTCCACAAGATAGACATTCAAAAGGCTTCTCACCTGTGTGAATTTTGATGTGTCTTTTAAGATCAGATTTCTTAGTGAAGCTTTTTCCACAGGACATACATTTAAAAGGTTTCTCCCCTGTGTGAATTCTGATGTGTGAATCAAGATGAGATTTCTTAGTGAAGCTTTTTCCACAACACAGACATTTATAAATCTTCTGACCTGTGTGAGCCCTCATGTGAACCATTAATTGTTCTTTTTTGGGACATGGGAAATATTTCTCTCCTTTATCTTCAGGCTCCTTCTTCAGAACAAGCTGCTCTTCTTGCTCACTTATGGGGAGCTCCAATGTTTCCTCTTTAGTCCAGGGATGTTCTGTCTCCTGCTGTTCTTCTTTCATCTGTAGAGGTTCTGGTTCCTCTAGTTCAAAACTGGATTTCCTCTCCTGTCCACAGAGCTGCTGGTCAGAGAAATCCTCCTCTTTTCCAACATAATCCCACAGGTGGTCTGGAAAGAAAAACACAAGAGAAGACTTTCTATTGTGGGCTGAAGAAACACTTCATTAAAATCATCCTTTTGTTGACCTCAGTACAGAGCTAGATTGTAAACCTTCTCAGATTTCAACCTCTTAGACAAAATAAGTAGAGAAAGATTTAAAAGGATGGTAAAATACATAATGCACTGCTTCTTAAGACATAATAAGGTTAATGCAAAACATCTTAACAAAAACAGGGTGAAGTTACCATAGATTACCTTTTTTCTATAACATTTTTCTCAAGAAGAAATGTTGACTTCAATCACAAAGAACAAGTTAATTTGTTCCCTCCTCGGTTTGTTTCTACTTCACTCTGAAACCTAGAGTAAAAACTAGTCCAC